TTCTTTCTTTCTTTCTTTCTTTCTTTCTTTCTTTCTTTCTTTTCTTTCCATTTTCATTGTTGTAGTCATGTAAATTGCTCTCCTGATTCTGCTTACTCAACTTTATTTCATTTAAAATCATCCTATGCTTTTTTGTATTCATATTCATGACATCTTATGACATAGTAATATTTCATTACATTCATGTACATTGTTGAGTTCATCCCCAAATGATGGACAACTGCTTAGTTTCTATTTCTTTGCTACCACAAAAAGTGCTGCTATAAATATTTTGGTGTGTATAGGAATTTTCTATTTTTGAAGTTGTTGGAGTATATGGCTAAGCAGTGAGATCTCTGGGTCAGATGGCATGGACATTGTGACTAACTTTAATTTGTTTTATTCTTCACTAAAATGCAGGATTAAGATGTGCACAAAAGTGACAATGGATGACTTTCTGACTGCCCATCATGAGATGGGTCACATCCAGTATGACATGGCATATGCTTCCCAACCTTATCTACTGAGAAATGGGGCCAATGAAGGGTTCCATGAGGCAGTTGGAGAAATCATGTCCCTCTCAGCAGCCACACCTACACATTTAAAAGCCCTTGGTCTCCTACCACCAACTTTTCAGGAGGATTCTGGTAAATTTTCACATTGTTTTTTTGTTTTTCTCCCCCAATAATGGAGAGATACCTTGTATCCAAGAGTTTAAAAGAAAGAGGTTATAAAATGGGCATGATGACAGTTTTCTTGGAAAGACTTTGATTGCTTTTAAAATGTCTTCCTGTCTCCATATAACAGAAGAAATAATAGAATCCCAGCATGTTAAGATTGCAGACCTCAGAGATTATCTAGTCAAAGAGTTTTATAGCTGGAAGGTAACCTTGGAGGTCATCTCATCTAACCCCTCCTTTTGTAGATGAGGAAACTTAGACCTTGAGAGATATTATGATTTGGCCATGATCATACAGTTAGTTAGTGGTAGAGTCCAAGTTAGATTATTTTTAAACTTATGTAATCAGGTTTTGAGGATACTGTACTGCAGGCAAGAGGGGACTTCTTGAACCTAGTTGTGTAGACAGAAGTCTATAGGAGCTGTAGTTCTGATGGACAGGATAAATCTGGCTTGGAGGGGAAGGACAGTGAGAACTCAAGAAGAAGAGGGGTTGGTGCAGGAAGTTTGATTTCAGTTTCATTGAAGGAGATTGAGCACAGGGGAAACAGTGGAATGATAGATTGAAGGAGAGAGAGACAGAGAGAAAGAGACAGAGACAGAGACAGAGAGAGAGAGAGACAGAAAGAGAGAGAGAGAGAGTTACTGACTCCCTTATTTGAATTTCTAAGGATGTAGGGCTTAAAGGTTGTGACAAATGATTGGGGCAATAGGGAAAGGCTTCTCTAGTTTATACATGTGTAATCATGTAAAACATTTCCATATTAGTCATTTTGTACAAGAACAAACAAAAATTTTTAAAAATGAAAGAAAAAAAGTGAAAAATAGTATGCTTCAGTCTATTTGATTTTGATTTTTTTAAATTAATAAAAAATAAATTAATAAAATTTAGTAGAAGAGAAGACTAAGTTATTTGGATAAGGGGCCTCCATTTTATTTTCTCCTAGGCTGAAACCATGAGTACTTGGTAGGTAAGTGCTCTTTTGCGTTGTTTTCTGATCTGGCATGCTAAGTTGAGGGAGGACAGTGATGAGGGAGCAGGTTTATAAGGTGAGTAGGGAAAGGTGTGATTTAGGAAGTATGGCCATGTCCACATTTCAAAGGTAAGATCCAGAGGAGGGAGGGAGAGAATATTTCTTCTTCTAATTTTTGCCTTCTTCCTTAAAGTTACAAACCTTGTCAGACAGTACAATTTACTGGGGCACTTAGGTATTCATAGAAAATTAGAGCTAGAAGGAAAGTTAAAGTTTATCAAGTCCCAATCTCTTCATTTTGCAAACGAGAGATTAAATGAATTTGTCTTATGAGATATATAACAATTTAATCCAAAATCAAGACAAGAAGCCAGATTTTTTAAACTTAATTCCATTCCATGGACATTTATTAATTTATTAAATACATACGTGCTTCACTCATACTTGCCTCTTTTCCAGCCCCAACTCCCCCACTAGACTGTAAACTGCTTGAGGGCAGTAAGTACGCTATTTGCTTGTATTTTTATCCCCAGCATTTAGTACAGTGCCTGTCACCTAGTAATAGTTTAATAAATGTTTATCTATCCACCCACCCATCCATCCATCTAGCTACCTTTCTATTTATCTACCTTTCTATCTGCCTTTCTAAATATTGTGTGCAAAATAATATGCTGGAGATACTGGAGGAGATAAAAAATTTATATAGGACTTGGACTATCTCCTTAATGAATTTATAGACTAATTAGGGCCTAGCACATAGTAGAGGCTTTTATTAAGCCTCTTGATAAGGAGAAAGGATATATATACAAGTAACTATGATACATTAGAGGAATGCAAGATAAAATGCTGCATAAAGTTATGGGGGGAAATTCTAGTTTTGTTTTGTTTTTCCCCAATAAACCATCCAAGGAAAGCTTTCTTATGGAGTTATTAGTATTGCTTAAGAACCCTTCTTTACTCTAAATGAAACATGCTAAACACATGTAAAACTGTTATTATTAAATCAGGCTATCCCAATGTCTTCTAATTTAGTTTAAGGGTCCTTCATTGAATAGCTTTTAAAAATATGCTGTATCAGACAGATATAGGCTTCTTTTTCCTCCTAAAACTTTTTCCCTTCCTAAACTTTTTCCTCTCTTTCTCTTAGGCCTTAACTA